CTAATTAATTAAAAAATAAAAAACTATCTCTGTACAATAAAACAACCGCCAAATTACATTACACTGTTTAGTTACAAACTGATGAATGCTAAAATCTCGTTTTCAAAATTATTTAGACTGTTTTCATCTTCCAGGATCAAATATGATCGAGATTTTCGACACTTCTAGCGAAGAGTTTACAGCTTATGATCTTAAAGTTTATGATGAAAAAAGTTCGGAACTTTATCGCACAAGTTTCATAGAAAATTCTCTAATTACTTTTTAAAAAAACTCGTGAGTAACTGTCTTAGAGCTTAAATTGCTAAGCAATTATCTCCTAATAAAAGTTCAAAGATAGAGACTTTTGGTCAACCCGGGATACAAACAAAATGAAAAATTGGTTAGTATGTAAAATGTCTCTTGTTTTCTAAATAATTATTCAACTATCTATTAATTAGCAAGGAATATTTACAAAACGATATTATAGTTACAAAAAAAAACTTTTGAAACTTCTTTTTGGGCGGGAAAAACGTGCTTTTCATTGATGAGAGAATATGACAAAAATAGATAGTAAAAATCTTGAAAGGACTATGTTGACGATAGACCAGAATCGTGACTTATCTATCAGATGCACATCCAATGTTGATATCGTGCGAGCGGGTAGCGATGCGTACCGAAATTCCAGAAAATAGTGCAAGAACCAGGTAGCCCCAAAGCTCTTGTAAGTCTAGCTCAAGCCGAACAGGAACAAATATATGGGAGCAATCAAAGCCTCGTCGTAAAACAACAACTAAATCGATGATGAGCTAATCAGCTATGCCAACTACTGTGCCTCGGAAAAACTTGAATCGTAATCCTAGTAAAACTTATGCCCACCCCCACATTCAGTTTCCATTAATTGGGTTAATCATTTGATTTGAGCACCAGTTTTTTTTTAGATTGAGAAAGAACCAAAATAATAAATTGCCTATCGATTATAACTTATCTACTTCAATTTAAAATGTAATCATTATATAACGCTATATTTTTCCACATGTTTACCGAAAATTTTAAATTGATTATTTTTAACCTTTTGTTAAATATTAGTTTGCAAAATAATCCGTTCCACTGTGTTATGAGCCGTTTGAGTCGATTATAATTCTTTCTATTTGCACATATTGTGTTTATCTTTTTGAATCTAAATTAAATAAACTTAAGTTTTCATAAACATCGGTGATGTTTTTTCGTTATATTTTTTCATGATGCGGTTTTCATTATGAGGCCAAACTGTGCGCTGGATAGGCGCACAATTTCTGGATAGGCGCACGGATTCCGCGTACAAACTCCAGTAACTTTAAATTTGTCAGCACATTAGTTTTGTCGTGAATTCCCCAACGAGCTAATATAGCTAGATGTCTTGAGTTCGCAATTTTGAGCGGATTCCGCAAAAAATTAGCGGTTTTGCAAATGTCAGCGGATTTCAAAATTTGAAGTGGATTGTAGTGTTGCTTGTTATACTGAACTGAAACAATCCTTGTGTAAGCAATTAAGAGCTATAGCTAGAATTATGGCAAATGCGTTAAGTTGGTCACGTTTTTCGTAACTTACATTTTAGCTGTTTCATAGAGGATTTCGCCTTCTTTTTAAACAGAGGCGAAGCTGTATTTCACAAACACTAGCGAGAACACGACTAAAAGCAGCTTTAAAAAGTGCAAAGGAAAGAAGTAGCGATAAGCCTCGAATTAGTGAAGTTTCGGCTTAGTCTAGTTTTTGAATCTGTGACCTAACTATTATAAATCTCACGCTCTAACCACTCAGCCACGGGAGCTTAAATAATCAAACATTAGCTAAAATTAAAGCAGAGAATAGATGCTATGCAATTTCTAATGCTACAGTGAACTTTGACCAAGTGAACACTTTTATTTGCGAGTTAGGTTAGAAAAAAAGGAAGGTTCGTACTAATACACCAACTCTCGCTAGTGAGAGCAAAGCAATGAATTTAAAACGTAAACAAAAGTCAAATCGCGAATTAAATTTGAATTTTAACAAATTTAAAGATCATTCCAGAAAAAAAAACATTTCGATCTATATAAAAGTTTGAACTACGTTCATCGACTCTCAACAATAACCTATTTTATTCATTTTAAAGAAGTACTGCAGGGATTGCCCCTAACGACATTTAAAATTTCTAAAATTTCTAGATTTAGAATTTCTAATAGAGTAATTCGAAGGAGGCGGGCGCTATTGAAGATAGAATTACTGCAGCAGAGAGAAAAGATAGAGAGAGAATAGAAGAAAGATAATTTGCTGTGGTTTCATTCCAGTTATTTATTGTTAGTCTTCGAAATAAATAACAGGAACCGCTTTCGCAGCATTCACAATTACTCTAATTAATTAAAAAATAAAAAACTATCTCTGTACAATAAAACAACCTCCAAATTACATTACACTGTTTAGTTACAAACTGATGAATGCTAAAATCTCGTTTTCAAAATTATTCGGACTGTTTTCATCTTCCAGGATCAAATATGATCGAGATTTTCGACACTTCTAGCGAAGAGTTTACAGCTTATGATCTTAAAGTTTATGATGAAAAAAGTTCGGAACTTTATTGCACAAGTTTCATAGAAAATTCTCTAATTACTTTTTTAAAAAACTCGTGAGTAACTGTCTTAGAGCTTAAATTGCTAAGCAATTATCTCCTTATAAAAGTTCAAAGATAGAGACTTTTGGTCAACCCGGGATACAAACAAAATGAAAAATTAGTTAGTATGTAAAATGTCCCTTGTTTTCTAAATAATTATTCAACTATCTATTAATTTGCAAGGAATATTTACAAAACGATATTATAATTACAAAAAAAAACTTTTGAAACGTCCTTTTGGGCGGGAAAAACGTGCTTTTTATTGATGAGAGAATATGACAAAAATAGATAGTAAAAATCTTGAAAGGACTATGTTGACGATAGACCAGAATCGTGACTTATCTATCAGATGCACATCCAATGTTGATATCGCGCGAGCGGGTAGCGATGCGTACCGAAATTCCAGAAAATAGTGCAAGAACCAGGTAGCCCCAAAGCTCTTGTAAGTCTAGCTAACGCCGAACAGAAACAAATGTATGGGAGCAATCAAAGCCTCGTCGTAAAACAACAACTAAATCGATGATGAGCTAATCAGCTATGCCAACTACTGCGCCTCGGAAAAAATTGAATCGTAATACTAGTAAAACTCATGCCCACCCCCACATTCAACTTCCATTAATTGTTTATCATTTTATTTTAGCACCAGTTTTTTTAGATTGAGAAAAATCCAAAATAATAAAATGCCTATCGATTATAACTTATCTACTTCAATTTAAAATGTAATCATTATATAACGCTATATTTTTGCACATGTTTACCGAAAATTTAAATTGATTATTTTTAATCTTTTGTTAAATATTAGTTTGCAAAATAATCCATTCCACTCTGCTATGAGCCGTTTGAGTCGATTATAATCCTTTCTATTTGCACATATTGTGTTTATCTTTTTGAATCTAAATTAAAAAAACTTAATAGTTTTCATAAACATTGGTGATGTTTTTTCATTATATTTTTTCATGATGCAGTTTTCATTATGAGGCCAAACTGTGCGCTGGATAGGCGCACAATTTAGTGTATGTATGTTGCTGGGTTCCAGAAACAAGTCTGCAAACAAATTCCAGAATCTTAGTGGATTTAATTCACAAAAGTTCCGTGGATTCCGCGTACAAACTCCAGTAACTTTAAATTTGTCAGCACATTAGTTTTGTCGTGAATTCCCCAACGAGCTAATATAGCTAGCTGTTCCTGAGTTCGCAATTTTAAGCAGATTCCGCGAAAAGTAAGCGTTTTTGCAAATGTCAGCGGATTTCAAAATTTGAAGTGGATTGTAGTGTTGCTTGTTATACTTAACTGAAACAATCCTTGCGTAAGCAATTAAGAGCTATAGCTAGAATTATGGCAAATGCGTTAAGTTGGTCACGTTTTTCGTAATTTACTCTTTCGCTGTTTTATAGAAGATTTCGCCTTCTTTTTCAACAGAGGCGAAGCTGTATTTCACAAACACTAGCGAGAACACGACAAAAAGCAGCTCTAAAAAGTGCAGAGGAAAGAAGTAGCGATAAGCCTCGAATTAGTGAAGTTTCGGCTTAGTCTAGTACTTGAATCTGTGACCTAACTATTATAAATCTCACGCTCTAACCACTCAGCCACGGAGGCTTAAATAATCAAACATTAGCTAAAACTAATGCAGAGAATAAATGCTATGCAATTTCTAATGCTACAGTGAATTTTCACCAAGTGAACACTTGTATTTGCCAGTTAGGTTAGAAAAAAAAGGAAGGTTCGTACTAATACGCCAACACTCGCTAGTGAGAGCCAAGCAATGAACTGAACTTAAAACGTAAACAAAAGTCAAATCGCGAATTAAATTTGAATTTTAACAAATTTAAAGATCATTCCAGAAAAAAAAACATTTCGATCTATATAAAAGTTTGAAATACGTTCATCGACTCTTAACAATAACCTATTTTATTCATTTTAAAAAGTACTGCAGGGATTGCCCCTAACGACATTTAAAATTAAAAAACGTTAGAGTTTAAAATAGATTGTTTCCAGACAGAATATTTTGGGACTTCTTTGCAATCCGAATTACCAATAACCATTCATTGGGCCATTATACTAAGCCGAAATTGACTGCCCGACGAGCTTTCTTTGAATTTTGTTAGCTTCTTCGGAAAAAAAACCAACTTACGCCATCGTTACATCCCACATGGTCGCAGCAACACGAATAAATCGTCGCAGCAACGCGGAATGAATAAATCCACCAATGGTGAGTGAGAGGAAAAGTTTCCGTGCATTCTGAGGTCAACTTTTCAGCTGGGATGTTTTTAATAACATCACCGTCTGAATTTTTAACTGAGTTGACATCATCTACTCACACTTCATTCTTTGCTTCCTGAGAAACTTGATAAGTGGAAAAGTGGAACACTAAAAGAGCATGTTCATTTGTGGTGATATTGATACAAAATTGAAATAGCAAATTTAATAAATTTAACATATAATATTTATTTCAATCTAGTTTATTTAATCAAATCAAACGAACGACTGCTAGTTACAATATTCGAATTCAATAAAAACAAAAAAGAACCTCTACAACTGTTGCACCCGACTAACAAAACCCAAAATAAAATCACAGACCATCTGCTCAAATAATAGCTGCTGTTTGTATGTTTTGTGAGTCGGTCAAATTACAAAATGAAATGGGACAGACGCGAAACTTGTTCAAATCCGATTTAACTACACCATTTTGTGTGGTGTCTAGCTGTTTGTTTGGTTGATGCATAGAATAGATTTAGATTTTCTAATAGAGTAATTCGAAGGAGGCGGGCGCTATTGAAGATAGAATTACTGCAGCAGAGAGAAAAGATAGAGAGAGAATAGAAGAAAGATAATTTGCTGTGGTTTCATTCCAGTTATTCATTGTTAGTCTTCGAAATAAATAACAGGAACCGCTTTCGCAGCATTCACAATTACACTAATTATCTAATTAATTAAAAAATAAAAAACTATCTCTGTACAATAAAACAACCTCCAAATTACATTACACTGTTTAGTTACAAACTGATGAATGCTAAAATCTCGTTTTCAAAATTATTCGGACTGTTTTCTCCTTCCAGGATCAAATATGATCGAGATTTTCGACACTTCTAGCGAAGAGTTTACAGCTAAATCTTTTTCACTTATATTAAATAAAGTAACAAACGCTGTTTGGAACAAATTCACAAATTAATTCATTGATTCAAAATTTGATGGTTTCCTTATAGGGAGAGGGGGAGGGAGAGACGCATGCAACACTGGCTCAATTACAAACTCCTGGTTCCTATTCCCAAATCAGAATAATCAATGCATTAGGAACCAGAACAGTTTGACCAAGCGAAACGAAAACCAACAAAAACTCCAATATTTCAGCCTTCAACGTGGAAAATGGTTCTCGAGTTAAGGATTTTGGTATATAAGGACGGTTATAGCGAGCGGTCTCCAAAGGTAAGATTGAAAAAATGAAAAAAGCACCGATGAATGTTGACATCTTTGGACAAGGTAGGTAGGAAGAGTAGAACAGAGGAAAGGTTAAGGAAAAGGTCAAACTCATTCCTCTCTCTCCCTCTTTCGATTTAGAACGAGTGTTCAGTTTTGGAATCTACTACTTTTTCGACCAAATCAACTGCAAATAGAATATAGCGAAGACGCATTTCATTATAAGTACACCAACTCGAACATTACATTTTGGGTTGTTTTGGGCAATATCACTACGATGTCTATAAATTATTTTCTGTCATCTCATTGGAACCAAATTTATGACTGAATTACAATTACAAAATTCGAAAAGGATAAAAGGAATATTCGATTAGATTAGAATGCAAAGAATAAAACAAAAGATTTGAGTACTAAATTATGCTCTCGAAATAAAAACTCGCATTCAAAGCTTAGTTTTACAAATGAATTCATTGCTCTAGGGAGGGTGGACACGATTTGAGTAAGTACTGGACCCTCGGAAGAAGAAATATTCAAAACCAGAAATTTCGACCTCGAATGGAATAGGCGCATTCGCATCACCGATATCATCACAAATGCACCATAGCACGCTTAATTTAGAGCTCGATTAGGAACGTTGGAATTGGCAATAAGATAGAATTTGCTGAAAGTCTGATCAGAAATGAATGGTAGAATGCATCTGTCTGTCACACATCATTCTGCAGCAGTTGTTGTTACTGGCCAAATTATTATGGTACAGTTTCTCAGTTTTTTAGCTACGGTTCTGCAATGGAGAATGCCAAATTATCTTTCATCCGTTCTCTGATTCCACTCTTTTTGGGTGTCGCAAGTGAGTTCTGGTTCTACCTCTATTCGTCATTGTCAACAGGTGTTCTATTGTATTGTTGTTTTTCGCTCTTCTAAGTACCATGTTGAATGAGAGAGAAGAGAGAGGAGAGATAGACGAGACGGTTGGTGTGTGGGTGGTGGAGTAATGTTCTCTTTTCTCTACTGTGTGTTGTGGTGGAAGTTGTTTTGTTGCAGTGTGCGGGCTTTGAATGGGTGTTGTTGTTGCCTATAGTAACTCGTACTGCCGCAAGTGCATGCGCTGTATGATGTCTTTGCAGTCGTTGAACACCCTTCGCACGTTCTCAGTGTCGACTGCACAGACAAAGTGTGGGTAGCAGAAGTGGGAGGAGGCGCTGCCTTGATTACTACTAACTGAACTAATTTGCTAAACACACAAAAACACCTGTTGGCTTGAGTAATTTATAATAACTAAAATTAGTCCTTAGGTAGGTTTACTCACCAAAAACTGATCTCGAATGAAACATTTGGCTTTGGTGAGTTCTGGGGGTTCATTGTGTTTGCTTCCTGAAACAGAAACATACCATCATTGACAATGTATTTTTTTAACTAAGCCTGTGATTAAAATGCAATAGAAACCTTGGGCGCGCTCAGGAGAGTAGTATTGTTGTTCCGACCATTGACAATGGGAAAGAACTTTGTATTCGGGTGTTTTAGTTTTTTGGCTTTTGTTTTCCACGCAAAATCAGGTACCACAAATAATCATCGCACTGGGTTGAGTGATATATCATATTAAAACCCTTTCAGTCGTTATTCGAACCACCTTAAAAAACTTCCAAAAAAGATTCTCAGTATCGAGAAAAACCGGTTTGAAATTTTTGGTTTTTCGTCTTAATTCGAGCGAATGAAGCAAGCGAGCACGATTACAACAGCTGAATATGCCTAACTTAAGACTTTAAAATTAATTTAAAGCAAGTAAAACTTGTGCTTGGAGTTTTTTTAGCTTCATTTTGGGAACCAAAAACTTCTAAAAAACCAAAAATTTTCTGCAAAAATTTTGAACTTTTTTTGTTAATTCATTTTTAGATTTCCAGTCATTTTTCTTCAAACATTTTTTGTCCTATTTGCCTATATTACTATCACTGTCTAATATGCCTTAATTATATTTTTACGTCAGATCCTTTTATCACACCAAGCAGAAAAAAACTACACTAATTTGGAAAAAAAACTGCCTAACCGTAGTTTTCTAATGACTATGGTCGGAACTCTTTTTTGTTTGATTTCTTTTTCATTTTTCTAGTAATTTTTCAATTTTCGACATTGGTTTTCAATTTGATTATTTTAGTATGGCTGTTGAATATATCTAATCCCCAGCTTTTTTTTGTTCAGCTCCTTTTATTGCACCACGCCAAAAAAAAAGACAATAATTTGAAAAAACTTGGTCGTATTTTTAAGACTATGGTCGGAACATTCTGCGCTATTTGCACAGTAACCGGCTATTGCTTTTTTTTTCAAATTTGACCTCGGCCCTACTTCGTCCTGACTATATTACGCCTTGATTCCAAGGAAAAGATGAGGTCATCCACTTCGCCGGAGCCGACTCCATGAGGAGGATGACAGTGAGACCCTCCAACTGCAACCAAAATGCGATTCGAACCGCGACAACAATTATGTGTTATCGTTCTTATTTAAATATCTGATTTACTGAGATCTGGTATTCCATTACTAGAAAAGACAGTATCCAACAACTTATGCTCGTTGTTTGGAATTGCTGACCTTTGTCCTTGGTTTCGTCTGGCAGGCGGTAGTCGTAGTAGTCCTTAAAGAACTGTCCAATGTCCCACTTCTCTTCGACCACCTTGCGCTGCAGTAGGTCCTGCTTGTTGAGGAAGAGGATGACCGAGATCTGACGCAGCCACCGGTTGTTCCAGATGCTCTTGAACAGGTCCAGCGACTCGGATAGTCTGTTTTGGGTGGCGTCCTCTCTCAGCTTTAGGTTGAAACTGCTGCTGGCCGTGACAAATATGATGGCTGTGACGTCATTGAAGCACTGGATCCACTTGCGCCTCTCGTCTCGCTGGCCTCCCACGTCGAACATGTGGAAGTTGACTTTATCAACTGCAAACTGCGTCTCATAAATCCCAGAGGTCAGCACACGACACCTCAGCAGATCCTAAACAGTTTCAAAATCATAACTAATTCTTACATACTCGATTAATTTTAGCCAGACGCCATTAAAATTTGTGCGTAATAAACAGTAGAACTAAGAAGAGCTTCAGAGAAAAGAAGGAGCTTAAAGAAAAAACATATCACCCTGAAGTTCTTCGAAATTCAAGAACTTCTTATTTTGGCACTTTTTGATCAAAATAATGAGTTAGGACTGGGGTGTATAACTCATAGAGTAATTTCGGATAGGGTACACCGTCTGCTCGTCACGCTATCTTATTTTCGGCCGGATAGATTCGTGCAACTTCTTAGTCTAATACCGATCCTAATCTTACTCTTATACTATCTAGTCTCAGGTTGTTTAACTAGTCTCTGCTAGGCTCAATAGATCTAGGGTATACTGGTTTATTGCGGCTGCTGAAGTGCTCGGGAGAGTCCAACTAATTTCTAAGTTAAATTCAAATCTCTCTGGTGCTGAAATTACAAGTAACTTCAGCACTTACAAATAAGTGGGTTGTTAGTTAGATGGATCATGATTGGTTAATATTAAATACTTTACATTGGTAAAACATTTAATTTATCCAATCATAAAATATAGTTTAGATCAGGTTCCACCCATCCGGGTTTTACAGAGTTTTTTAGAACAGTTCTTCTGTAGTTCAAGGATGGATGATGGACGTTGGTATTTGGCGAACATCATTTTTCTTTTGTTTCCTTTTTGTTAAGGAAGTTCCAGGGATCTGGAATTGAGGACACAAGACGTTGTGTTCTTCTTGTGACAACGACTGAGTCTCTGCAACAGCATCAATTCTGGTTTCAGAATGGTTGGCTATGTCAGGTTTTTCTGTTCTTCGGAGAGAACTTCTTTTGTGTTTGATCTAGCTCGGGAATGGCGTGGAGATTGTGCGTGGAGGGGATGCCTGGTTACTCGGATCTGTACGTATACTTGAACATCGAGGTGGTCATTGGTCTAGTTCAATGAAGTCCTTTTCTGCGAAATCAAGTCGTACTCTAAATCCTTTGAGTTGTGATTGTGAGCGGCATATCGATTGTAGTTGGTCATTCTCTCTCGAGTGTAGTGAGGTCGTCTTGTCTTTTGATGTTCGTCCTTGGTGTTGTATTCTGATCTATATATTGCATCATGTAATTTTACATTTTATAAATCTTTTATTAGTTTAATATATTTTTTAATAATGATTTTAGTTAGTTGTTTTCACAAAAGCTTTTTGTTTTAGTTCGGTTATTTTGAAGAGTTACTCACCCTTGAGTAGCTCTTATTAAAAATAAAGGTGTGGTCACAAAGCGTGGATGTAGCGCGGTGGGTTAGGCCGGCTATAGAGCATGCTCAGGACGTCCTTTCCTGGTGGGTTAGGCCAGGTGTGGGAGTATGATTTCATGCGGTTTTTGTGAGGGGTCCTGTTATGTGACAACGTTTTATGTTGGGTTTGTTGTGGTTTTACTTGTGTCTTGTTGGTTATGTACTTTGTTCAAAAAGCAAATTGTTTGTGGTATGGGTTTGTCTTTCGACTTTTTTGTGTTTTATTATTTCTTTCTAAGACTTTGTAATAGTCTTCAAAAGAATAAATTATCCAGTTTTAAACTGGGTTAGTCCGGTTTGGGTACCGTTGGTTTCCTTTTCTTAGTCATGCTGTTATTTTATGATTTGTGGTATTTAGTAAGCTGCGTTGGTTAGTTTTGTTTAGTATATGATTCCTTTCCAACCGGGTTAAAGGAAAGTTTGAAACTTGTTATTATATGTTAGAGTTGTTGAGTGTGAAAACTTGAAACTGAAATTCATTATTTTAAACAATTCTTCGTGGGCGAGCTGTGTGAGTGTGGATAGAATTTCTGTGCGAATGAATGAAAATATCAAAAGGTTAGTACTGCAATTGCATTTTATTAATTTACTGCATAGAATTTGGAAATTTACTGCTAGTAATGGGGGAATTTTAAGATACAAATTTTCATCATATGTAGATTTACTGCTTTGGGGGAAAATTTTATAAATTAATTTACTGCATTGGTATTATATTTATTTAATTGTTGGTGCAAAAGTTAAAAGGGTCTTAAACAGTTTTGAAGAAGTTTGCTATTTTTTATTTTTCTTTTGTGAATTTTTCAGATGATCGAAGATGAAGGCTAAAAATCTAAAGAAAACATGAATAAAGAATGGTGAGTTTTTTAATATTTTAATTAGTTAGTAATATTCATTTAATTCATACTTACCTGTTAGTCGTCGGGGAAAAAACCGTGGGGGAAGATATCGTGAACTAGTTCTGAAGTTGTTAGTAGTTTAGCTAAGATGCGGATGATATTTTTAGTTTGAAGCAGTGGCCAAAGCAATTGAAGTGCCTTAATAGTGGTTAGTTCTTCAGTGCCTACTGCAAACTCATAAGGTGTGTTTTGGATTAAGTTATATAATTTGTGGTTAAATTTAGTGTTGTGGATGAATTCTAAAATGGGGATTTCTATAGGCTGTACAAACTCGTGCGGGATAAGGAAGGGTCGGGATTCTTCGGCGTTGAAGGTCTTGGTGATGGGGCAGAAAATGTACATTTGGGTTATGGGGTCATAGTTACGAAGAATACCATGAAGGTTAGTATCTTTAATACAATATGTGAAATTTAGGAAATACGGTGAAGTGTATTTTGAATTGATGAATTGAAAGCGATGGTGTGGTTGTCTAGAGGGTGTGTGGAGGTCAAAGTGATTTTGGATGAAACGATAGTAACTGTATGTATGTGTTTGTTTAGTTCGCAACATAATATCGTGTGAGCAGTGTAAATCTCTTTCGTGTGGTGCAAGGAAATGAAAGGTTAGTGAAAAGATTTGGAAGCGTTCTTTAAAACTTTCGTACGCTTGTGTGCTTGTTAGTGCTTCTGAAATAATGTGATCAAACTTTCGGTCGAAGATGTTTAGTGTAAATACATATGGTGTCTTGATGAAAAATTTCTCGGTGATTTGTGGGTTAGCGAAGCGATCGTCGTCTAAGAATTGATCTTGGTTAGCTCTGATGATGTTGTGATCGTAGTATTCTAGTGTATATTCATTAGCTCTAGGTGCAGTGTGTATTTTTAGTGATTTTTTATATCCTACGTAAGTAAATTGTCTAGCGGTGAGTGGTGTAGTTAGTCGATATAGCATGTCTTTGTTTCGGTCTATATCGATGGATGTGTTGGTTAAAGGTAAACAAAGAGGGTTAGTGAAATGATAGTATGAGGTCCAAGAGAGAGTGGGCATTAAAACGTATTCGTCTACAAAGTTGCGTGTTTCGTTAGCGTCATGAGGGGTGTTTAAGGTGTATTGTGGAAATGAGGGTAAAGTGATAGCTAAAAATTCTCTAGTGTTAGTATGCTGGGGGTGGTTGATGTATTCACGGGCTGTTCCTGGTTTTGCTGGGAAAGGATGGTTGGGGAAGTTTCTTTTAAAAGTGCGGTAAGCTCTATTAGTGTTGAGTGAGAATTCAGTTGATGTGGATGATGGTGCTAATGATTCAGTATAATTTGAAGAGGGTGTAGGGGGATTGGATGAATTTGTAGTGGAGGAGATTTGGTTTATGGTCGGGGTGTTAAGGTGGTAGGGTTGTTGTTGGAGGGTAATAAAATTGTCTAGCTCTGGGGAGATTCGGGGGGTGTCTGGAGATGATTGGTCAGAATGGTATGAGGAGTAGGTTGGGGTAACTTGGGAAGCATAAGAGGGTGTAGGAGTGATGGGGTCAGGGTTATTTGACAATATGGGTTGAAAAGGAGGTTGAGAAAACTGAGAAGGGTTATGAAAATTATTGGATGGAGATGGTTCTGAGTCGGCAAATTCGTCGGGGGTTTCAATATTCGGGTTATTTAGCTGTGAAATGGAGTATAAAACTGAAATTTGTGAGTTAGTGTCGGAATTCATGCCTGATGTTACATTGCTAGATGGAAAATCGGGTGGCGGAAAAGCAAAAAGTGGTATTATTGGGATTGAAGAGGTAAGGTTGGTTGGATGGGAATTTGATCGATGGAGTGATCCAAGTTGGCGGCTCATCGTGGGCTAAAAAAATTATTATTTTGAGATTGAAAAGCGGTGGTATGTGGTTGTTCAATAATTTGTTCGTAATTATTATCATCTTGTGATTGATGTGTCATTATATGTTGGACGGGACTTTGTGATGTGGTGAGTCTAAAGTTTGGATTATGTGTGATTGCTAAATTTCTAAAATTTCGTGGGACTAGGGATAGTGGATGGTTATTTGGTAGGGGTGGTAATTGTGGTGCCGTTGGCTGTGGGTCGACGTTGTTATGTTCTTCGTCGTATGTATTTTGTCGTGTTGTTATTTTTGTGTTATATTCTTTTATTTGTGCGTCTAAAAGAATTTTGTTTATAGATGTGGAAAAAATTCCAAAAAATCCTGCAAAAAGTATGCGTGCTACGCTTGCTTGTCTGTTTACTTGTGTGTGTATAGCACATGTATTGTAGATTCCTTTTAAGAGTGAGAAAAGAAATCCAATAAAGTTAAACATTGCGTATAAAATAGTCAATTTTTCTAAGATGTAGTAGGGCCATCCTAGAAAATCTAGGATCTCATTTTTGAGTGTAACAAAGCTAAAAATGTTAATTGGTGATATATCTTGGGGACGGTATTTTTCGCCGTTTAGATATATATAATCTTTAATGTCTTTAAAATATCCGCTATAGTCTTGCGTGTAGATATCGGCAAATCCTGCAGTTTCTGCAAGTTTGCGTAAATTTTGGTCTATTGATTGTCTTTGTATAGTGTCCATTTGTGTTAATAATTCTTGGAATTGTTGTGTTCTAATGTGATGTTGAATATCTGATTTTGAATAGATTCCTATTGATTGTAAGTCTATATTTGGGTTTCGAGCAATAGCGCGAATGCTTTCTGGTGAAAATTTTTTGAGTGATTGCATTAATGTGGGATATGGAGTGAGAAGATAATATTTGTTTTCATCAGGGTTTAGTTGTACTACATTGTGGCTATTTTCTGATCCACATGGGACTGCGGTATCC